TGCGTTGTTTCGCTGTGTCAGTCTTGTGCAGCCAATCTGAGGAGCAATGAACCACCATGTTACCCCGAAAGACCTCAGCGCATTCAAATGGCTGTGAGAGTAAGAGATTCGCTGCAGTGAAAGAGTGAAGATGTGAGAAAGAGTATGCGCCGGGTACGGCCTCGTGTGCGCGGACTGCCCATCTAAGGGCGACGCGTCTAGCCCCAGGCCCGCTCGGGCCCGCGCCCCCCTCTTTTCACGCATTACCCGTGCCCATGCTCCATGTCCTCCTCCCCCCATCCCTCCTCCCTTCCCCATCGTCCCCCTCGCGCCTCCTCATCGTGCATCATTCCCCCTCCATCCTTCCCCGCCCCTCTCCATCCTCATCATCATCCTCCTGCCCCGAAGGACGACGATGACTTCTACGACGACGAGCACTACAACCACGACCCACCACGACGACGGTGACCACGACCCCGACCACGGCGACGACGGCGAACCGCTCGCAGGAGGGCTCCCTGGCGGCCAGCATGTGGGCCGAGCGGACCGCCATGGGCGCGGTGCTGCTCGGGGACCGGAGGGCGGGGCCGTGGCCGCCGCCGCTGCCGTCGTCGCCGGCGTCGCCGTCGTCCGCCGCCGGTCCTCGCTGCCGTCCTGAGCTGTGGTCTGAGGTGGTCATCGTTTTGTCGTGGTGCCGGTGCCCGGCGGTGGTCGTCGCTATCGTGGTGGGTCGTGCTCCTCGTGGTCGCCGTGTTCGTGGTCGTCGCGGTTCGCCCACCGCAGGGAAGCCTCGCTGCTTCCTCTTCCTGCTTCCTTCCCCGCCTCCTGCCTGCCTCGAGACGTGAACGTCGCAGCAGCAATGCAAAGTTTGGGAGCCGCAAGGCGAGGAAACGCGGTGGGTGGAGACGGAGGGAGCCCATGATAATGACGCAACAGCCATTTTCTCGTTGGGTGCAAGCTGACAGCTCAGGATAGAGAGAAGTGATGCCACAGGTTAAAGTCGACGGTGAAGCATTGACAACCCATCCGCAGATTACCATCGGCTGGACCTCCAACCCCTGCAATTCTGCACGCGGGGCAGGGGAAGCTTGGACCCCGTCAGGCTGTCCTCAGGAGCGCTCGCGTGTTGAATTTGAATGCGAGCGCGCGGCTTTTTGGTGCAAGGAGCCACAAGTGAGGTAATTGCACACAGTGGGGACGCGCATCAAGAAACCGGGTGCTTTCCATCAGGGTAAAGTCGGGGCGTTGAAGAAGGAACTCTTTTCGTTGGGGAGGGGCTCCGTGTTCTTTGATTGTTGTGCAGGTTTCCTGAGGTGTTCGATGGGGCATCGACGTTTAACTCACGGAAGCAAAGGGGGCCTCGTTCCTTCTTTAGGGTTCCTTAGGTCAGCGACCCGATTGTATTTTGGCTTCTACGCTGCGCGCGCTTCGCGATGGTTGCCCGCGGGCGTTCAAGAGGAGTTGCTGCACTCAGGGTGACTTGAGATCCCCCCAATGCAAGGCTCGTTTCGATTCCTCCGGTTCGATTCGACTTCGATGGTTTCCGATTCCGATTCGATTCGATTTTGGATTCCGATTTGGGTTCCGACTTCTCAACGGAGGCCTACTAGCTTGCCGATTTCCGCCGATTCGACTTTTCCCGACTCGGCTGCCGAATTCCGCCGATCCGATTCCTTTCGATCGCCGATCCGATATATCGATTCGATTATGGGCTCTCCTGCCCAGTGGCACTTCGCGCATGTTTTCTTGATTGGAGTGCTTGATGGTCGTGTGCAGCCGCCTCCGCTCTGTACCAGAGCTTGACCTATCATGTACGGCGTCGGTTCATAGCATGGCCCGGTTTCTTATGATCTGTTTTGCCGATCGGCGCAGGCCCTCGCACTTCCTCCCCCCCTCCGTGCAGTAGATCTTGGCCGTATTTGGCGCCAGTTTCAAGCAGGTGAAGTCTCCCCCGTAGGACGCATTGTTACAAACAGTCGCCCTAAGCAGAGGTCTGGAGCCAGACCCCCCCCCTCCCCCCTTCTTCCGCTCAATTTCGGAACGCCGAGTAAGAAAGCGGGCTCCATGGCACCCACTCACGTTCCCATCTATCGAAAACATATGTGCCTCAGAGTTGAGTGACCACTCCAGGATGTCATCGTGCTTGCAGATGGCTACAGGCTGTACACGCTTGTGTGCAGCTACCTTGGTAGGCAATCCGTGTGCCAATCGGCACAATTCGGCTCCTCCTCATTCTCGGACCCCGCAGACCGACAAAATCGGCCCTGTGCGGCAAATTGTATCGGAAATGCGACCGGGACTCATGCCGCGATTGTGGTGCCTCTTTCTATGATACCCTTTTCTCCATTCGTCTCTTTCTCTCTCTCTCTCTCTCTCTTGAATTTTCGTTCATTCATCCCCTGTGCTTCGCATCCCCTTCCGCGTTCATCCGTCCAGGTAGGACAGCTTACCCGCGACGGGAGGGGAGGGCCTGTGCTTCTTCATGGCTCCGAGGAGCAAGAAGGAAGACTACAAAGACCCGGACAGCGATCCCCCCAGTGTTGCTCCCTCGATGCCCGCTGACCCGACGCGTAGACCGGGGCTCTTCGTAAGCATCCACGCGAGAGAGGTGCTGGAAGCGCACTCGCGCGTTGGCGCTGTGGAGCAGCAAGGTGTACGGACGGCGGCCGAGCTTGCCCCGTCCCGGGGCCGGGAGCCCTCGCGGGTGGATGGGATTCGCGGGGTCAAGAGCGAAGACGAGTGGGGATCTGCGCCCAAGATTGGTTTGCGTTGTCTGTGTCACGACGTCGGATGTCTGTGCACACGTCTTTGGGAGGGGGGCGAGGCCAAGGGGTGGGGGGGGGCACCAGGCGCGTGCCCGCAGATTGCCACGGCTGTTCTCAGGTCGGAGCGGCGTCCAAGACTGCGCACGTTTTGGGAGGTATCCAGGGCCCCCTGCTTGCCTCTGGACCTCGTGCGTTCCGCGCTGCCTCAGCAGTCAGAATCAGGCATGCTTCAATCTTCGGACTCAGCCACGCGCCTGTGAGTCCTGGTGCAGTCGTGTCTGGCCCAGCGTTTGCCAACTGTCTGTAAGACCGTGTTCAGACGGTCTGGATCTCATTCGGAGATCGGGTCTGTTGTCCAGATTCGCGCAAGATTGAACATGGGCAGTTGCCTTCGCAGAGGCGCTCCGATCTGTTTCACCCTCCCCTTCGTCAGCGTACGCGCGCTTGCAGAGGAGGCGAGAAGGTATCCAGGGGGGCCAGGAGGGTGGTACACGTTGTTGCGCGCACCCTTCTGGCCGTAAGTCGGGCATGTCCATCTACAGGAGGAGTACTCCAAAATGGTAAAACAACAAGTTGTGTCTAGCATGGTTGACTATGTTCTTGTATGTGTTGCTATGTTTATGGTGTCGCCCAAAATCCGCCTGTAGGAGGACATGCCCGACCTCGTTCTGGCCCCGCGGTCATTAGGTCTGGAGGCTTCTGGAAGCAGCAAACGGGCCAAGCACATCCAAGTGTGTTGATCCTCGATCATCGGCCCCCTCTTCCTCCCGGCTCCAAGCCCGAGCCCTGCGAGGGACGCGCCGAGACGCGCAGAATACGTGGAAGGGAGAGATAAGTCCCCTCCCGGTTTCGAGGTCTGCCCCGATGGCGCGTCATTATTCTCGTGCACCGGGTGTCCAGAGCTCCGACGACTTTATTCCGCGCCGCACACACACACACACACACACACACACACACACACACACACACACACACACACACACACACACACGCGTCCCCAGCGACAGAGTGAGGCCCCCGCGCTGTGGCTCTCTGCCCCGAGCCCACCCGCGTCCCCAGCGCCCCAGCGGGAGCCCCGCCCACTGCCCCCTCCGCCACGAACGTTTTTTTTTCCGCCCCCCCCTCCCCCCCGCGTCCCCAGCGCCAGAGTGGGACCACCGCGCCGTGGTTCTCTGCCCCGAGCCCCCCCGCGTCCCCAGCGCCCCAGCGAGAGCCCCGCCCACTGCCCCTTCCGCCACGAACGCTTTTTTCCGCGTCGAGCACCCCCCCCACCTTCCCCGCGTCCCCAGCGCCAGAGTGGGACCCCCGCGCCGTGGTTCTCTGCCCCGAGCCCCCCCCGCGTCCCCAGCGCCCCAGCAGGAGCCCCGCCCACTGCCCCCTCCGCCACGAACGCTTTATTCCGCGTCGCGACGCACACCACCTCCCCCACCTCCGTCTCCGCGTCCCCAGCGCCCCAGTGGGGGTTCCGCCCCGTGCCCCCTCCGCCCCGACAGTGTCATTCCGCGTCGCGACGCACACCACCTCCCCCTCCCCCCCCCCGCCCCCACCAAGCCAGAGTTGGACCCCCGCCCCGTGGCCCTCTACCCCAAGCCCCGCCCAGTGCCCCCCTCCGCCCCGACCATTGTATCCCGCGTCGCGACGCACACACACACACACACACCCCTCCGCTCCGCGCCCCCAGCGCCCCAGTGGGACCTCCGCCCCGTGCCCCTCCGCTCCGAGCATGTTTTCCCGCGTCGCGACGCACACCACCTCCCCCCCCCCTCCCCACCTGGGATTTGGGCCCCGTTGCTGGGCCCCGAGGGGCGATGTCTGGCCCCCTCTCCCCCCTCCTCCACCTCCTCCTCCTCCTCCTCCCCCTTCCGTTTTGCGCAAGAGCCATGGCACACGTGCCATTTGTTTTGCCCCGCTTGCGTGAGGAGGAGAAGGAGGAGAGAAGCAGGAGAGAAGTAGGTGGAGGAACCACGGGTTTCGGATCAAGGGCCAATCTGCAGCCCACAGCGGCAGGCGTTAAAGGAGGAGAAGGAGGAGGAGGAGGAGGAAGAGGAGGAGGAGGAGGAGGAGGAGGAAGTCTTGCTAGGTGGCCATCTTCCTCTCAATTGGGGGGGGGGTCCCCCACCCATGCCACCTCTGAAGGAGTCCCCAGCGCCCGCCCAAGATTTTTCGTGCGTGCGATGGGGTTCAGGCGGCCCAGTGCGGGGTTGTCATCGGCCTACAACCCTCTCAGCGTGATGGGAACGCGCGCCCCGGCCAACTTCATCCAGTGCTCCATCGGCACGCAGAGGTGCGCGGCGTCGGCCGCGTTGCTCGGCCCCGTCGCCAAGGCCCACCAGTTCAGCTCGATCGATTGGGGGTGGGTCTTGACCACGCACGTCGACAAATCAGGTGGCCTTCAGATAGGGCGGCATGAGAACACGTCCCCATGTGGTTGGTGGAGAGGGTTTGCCCCAGTACTACGAAACCTTCGCGGCGGAGTAGGAGCAGTGCGCGTGGAGAGAGGGTCCTCACGTCTCGTGCTGAATGCAATGCACTTCCCGCCCGCACCGAGCAGAGGCCGTGAACATCGTGAGCCATGGCAGGCGAAGGTGAGACCGATGAGGTGGCCATATTCACTGGTGGGGTCCACAAGCGCACGCTGGTCAACTGTACTACGCGGCGACTTGAACGGTCAGCTAGCCGAGACCCCACAGGTGACGGGCATGTACCATGTGCATGAATTCAACTACACAAGTGAGATGGCAGCACCTGGGTTTCGAGCGCACGGTATGTGCGCCATCAACACACTTCTCCCGACGGTCGTTCCCACGTACTACAACAGAGGGGTGGTGAAGACAAGCGACTACATCATGGTACCGCAAGAGTGGCACAAGGCTACGACGTGGTGCAGGACATTGACACGGTCGGAGGGGCGTCTTCAGCTACACAGCCAGAGTGCGGGGGGGGGGTCATCTACGACGGGGAGCATGTTTCATCGACGTGCTTGATCTGCCATATGAGCTGATCAAGCAGACAAAGATCAGCAAATAGATGATGATTACAAAGATGCTCCAGCTCGGTGATCGACGGCCCGAATTTGTGGAGACGGGCGAACCACAACTACGAAGGCGCCTCCACCTGCTTCGAGCGCTCTTATGGGGCGAGATCCTAGAGTTTGCCAAGGCGGCAGGCGCAGGGAAACACTATTGGGGCACTGTAGGCCACGTGGTGGGCCACACCGAGCAGACGAGAGTTGTCAGAAAGTTACTTCGACAGCGACGTGATGCACGTGAGAAGTTTCGGTTAACTCATGGCCGACAGGTATTATTCCGAGCAGGTTGTTCCAGTAATCAATGCACGATTGGTGGCGCAGTATTCTGTTCTGAACACATGAGTGCTGATGTGGAGCGTGGGATGTGCGTGGACAGATCTCGATCAGCGGCGTTCGTCAAAATGCAAACGACACGATGCCGACTACGTGAATTTGCTGCGGAGGAGCCTCAAGCATTGCGGCAACACATTCGGAGTGCCCATCTGGCCGCACATCGCGAAGGGCATCTTCTCGAGCTGGGGGTCGTGGCGGATCACGGGAGATGCGCTGAAGAAGGGAGAGAAGGACCCCAAGCGCGGCAAGTCCAAGGAGTCGGACGGCGCCAAGAAGAGGTTGGTCCAGCTCGAGGCGCGCATGAGGGCGAAGGAGAAGTACGCCATGACGCAGGCCCCCCTTTCCTGCGGACCTCCCACAGGTCGCGTGGTGCCAGGCCCAGTACCAGTCGCACCTCGTGCAGGTGAAGAAGGACCAGCGCGAGCGCGGGCCGCCAGAGCTCAACGTGTGTTTGAGGGCTCCGAACGATATCGAGAGTTGGGTGGCAGAGGTCCCATCGAGGTAAGAAGTACGTGGGCCGAGAGTGCGCAGCATGCACGAGCAGGGCAAGAGCGAGGGCGCCAGCGATTGGATCAAGGACTTCGCAATCAGCCCGATGTACGAGGTGAGAGTGACAATGAGCATTCGATGGCACGTGCTCGGTGCCACGGCAATCACGTGGAGAAGCTGAACAAGGACCGGCAGGAGACATGGGGGCGGTGCCCCGAAGGACGACAAGTTCGAGGAGGCGCCCCTGCGGACCCCGCTGGTGGCCTCGGCGGTCCCCGTGGGCGCCGCGTCGTGCTCCTGCTTGCCCTCGGCGTGATCCTTAGCGCCTGGGGCGGCTCCAGGAAGGTGGACAAGGGCCCGAGGGGGCCCAGGGCCAAGCAGCTCGCGGGCATGAAGTAGGTGTGAGCGGAGGCGCCCCGCGGCCCGCGCGGGCCGTCAGCGGGCGGGGGGTTGGGCTTTCTCACGGGTGGGATCTGCTTCGGGCCCCTCCCTCGCTTCGGGCCCCGTGGGCCCGTTGCCGTCTTCTGGCGGCGTTCCGCCCTCGGTGCGTTCGGCCTCTGGTAGGCCATCCCCGAGGCTGATCCCCCTGTGGGAAATGCTTAGCTCGTTTGGTAGAGCTGCCCAGCGTCAGTCGGAGTTATGGATTCACGTGGCGCGAATGGGGTCGTAGTAGTAGTAGTAGTAGTAGTAGGAAGTCGTGCTTGCCCCGGCTTTGGGTAGCGCGCGGCCCAGGCATGCGCGGCGGACGCAGCGGGGGCGGGGAGGGACCGCACAGGGCGATATCGCCGCGAGGCGTGGAGGGGGAAGGGGGAGGGGAATGAGGAGGACTGGGGAAGTGGAGGGAGGAGGAGGAGGAGGAGGAGGAGGAGGAGGAGGAGGAGGAATGGGGAAGGGGAAGGGGAGGAG